ACTAGCTAGGGCCAATCTATGGGCAAAAAATGAGCAAAATCGATTTTTCGACTTGTGCCGTTGTTTGGTCCATAGTTATGGGCACTGGCTCTTAAAAGCTTTCTTCCCCGAACCAGCATGCGGGTGTGTTAGTGATTTCGCCGCTCGACAAGTCCCTCCTTACGCTCGCTTCTCGCTCGCGGGATTTCACGCTGCCATTTTTTCTCGCGGTTTATATATGGTCTCGCCCAAAGGACTAAGCGAAAGAAGGACTAATCACTGTCTATAGTAAATACATATTAGTACCTTTGATCACTTTTTTGCATGAACTTGTACCTGGGCACAGCTGAATGTTACAAGTCCGTGATTCTGTCCGTGGTCCAAGACTGAAACACCCCCGTCCTCCGTATGCTGGCCAAGGATTTGTGCAGGAACGAACACGGTATTTTTTCCCCAGACCACAAGACTGGCTACAACGAGACCAACTGGACCACTGCGAGTAGTCACCGTGAACTGAAAAGAGACGTTTAAAAAGGTCAGGAATTAATTGAAGACAAAAACAAAGATAACAATGACAGTATCTCCATGTGGCACGAAATTCTTTGCGGGAGTTTAATATTGCGGATGGGCGACTTTTTAGCTTGGCATTTTTAAAAAATATACCTATGCAGGGACCTGTTTCTCAAAGGTCCCGAAATGTTTTTGCACCCGAAAAGCCGTAGCAGAATCTCAAACCGCATGATTACAGAGCTGTTGTATTCACATATTCTTAGTATGACCAGAAGTTCCCTTCATACATGACATTTCAGGAGTATACACCTCTCTGTTTTTTTGCTACAGAAAACAAAAAATGGCTTTTCGGGCCCGAAAAGTTTCCGGCCCTTAATTTCGAGAAACGTTCCCCAGGTGTCGTCTACACAACGAAGCTTTTGAGTAATTCCAATTAACATTTGCTCAGTTTTTTTTTTTTTTTTGGCATTTGGCTTCATCCAATCAAGGCCGAACCAACAATTTGCATTATTGAGACTTTCTTGAAGAATTTATTGTATGCTTTGACACGTGTTACCGCTTGACCAGGTAGCCGTGTAATCGGCATACATATCAATTTCAGAATTTTGTCTAGGAAGTGGCAAATCATTGATGTAAATTGAAAAAAATAAGAGACCTAAAATGGATCCCTGTGGAACTCCTAGCACAAGAGGAAGCGGCATTGATGTTTTCCCTGATACGATCCATGTCTGCGAACGTTCGCTAAAATATGATTTAAACCATCGCATAGTGTGGTCACTAGTGAGGCTCATTGATAATTTGGATAGTGGAATGTCGTGATTGACTAAGTCAGACTCCTTGCTTAAATAAAGCAAAATGGTTCCAATAAGCTTTCCACTGTCCATTTCCTTGAGCAAACGATCCGTTATAATTAGTGCAGTTTCGCGCGCATAATTAGGTCGACAAGCAGACTGATTTTTGTATAGTAGATTATACTTTAGCAAGTGTTTTTGATAAGTTACAGACACGGGTCGTTCTAGAGGTTTAGAAAGGATTAGCAGTACTGAGATGAGACGATAGTTTCTTCTGTCATTAGTGGAAGGTTTTTGGTGAAGTGCAGTGAGTTAAGCTTTAATTTTCAAAGGCGCTTGGGAAGGTTGCTGTTTTGGTACTGGTGTTGTATATGTCCAAAAAGCTTCTTTTAGTATGAGTACGAACACTGACACCATCTCGGCCAGTGGCTTTATGAGACGGGATATTATTTCAAGTCATTTTTAATTATCTTCTCTGTGTCACATTTAAAATTTTGAAGACATCTGTAACGGTCTCAAACGTGCTGTTGTTGATGAAACGGAGTAGCTGGTTATTCTTATCACGACGTGTAAAATTCGAGTTTATCATCTGTATTACTTATATATGCATAATAACAATTTCTCTCCAGATAATAAAAATCATTTACCTGGGCACCGGTATGTGTTACACGTCCTTGACTCTTTAGCTTGTCCCAGTCTGCTGCAGTCTTCTCCTCCGTTCGCAGGCAGGGGGTTGGTGCACGAACGATAACGATCTTGCTTTCCTCCATCACATGACCTGCTACACTGAGACCAATGAGACCACCGCGAGTAGCCGCCATGAACTGAGAAGAGACGTTTGAAAAGTTTAGTAGCTCGTTGCAGAAAAGACAAAGATAATAACACAGTGCGTCATGCAAATTAGTGCTTTCATTACTTTTTGACATGAAGCTTGTACCTGGGCATGGCTTAATGTAACAACTCCGCCTTTCTCTACTTGGTCCAAGGCTGCTACATCCTCGTCCTCCGTATGCTGGCCAAGGATTTGTGCAGGAACGGGAACGGTATTCCAATCCCGGACCACAAGACTGACTACAACGAGACCAACTAGACCACAACGAGTAGCCACCGTGAACTGAAAAATAAGGTTAAAAAGATACATTAGCAGGGTAATCACGAGCAGTTAAGTGAGCCAGCGCAATCAAGTGGCACCAGAATGACATAATACAAACGAAGAAGAAGAGGAAGAAGAAGAAGAAAAAGACAAATAAGGGGTAGAAACTTATTTTATACAAAATTAAAACACATAATGCACAGAGTAGATGCTCACCCCAAATTAAATGAGTTGTTACATAGTTACGTTGTTATTTCTCTCATTTTCATAATTCTTTCACAGAAATATTAATTACCTGGACATTTACGCTTGTTACATTTTCTAATTTCTTTGTCTGCTCCCAGGCAGCTTCTTCCTTTGTTTGCTGGCGGAGGATTAGTACATGTACGAGAGCGATACTGAGTTCCCCATGGCCATCCACATGTTTTGCTACAGCGAGACCAGTAACTCCACCGCGTGTAGCCTCCGTGAATAGGAATATCTGACAACAATAGCGAAGTCTTATTTCATTTCTGAGTGGAAAATGCATATCCGTGAATGTGCTGGGACGACATGCTTCAACAAACGAAACAGTAGGTAAAGAACACAAAGAATGCTCCTAGCCCTAAGAACAAAAAAAGTGCAGATCCCTTAACCGAACGTTGAGACTCCGGGCGGGAGTGCTTTTAGATTAAAATTTGAAGCGCCCTATTCGGAGAACCCTAGTAAGGATTTAATCATTGGTTTTAAAAGTACCTCTTTCGTACTTGGTTTCCATGAGACTTTCACAGAACCTAAACAATTTTTTTTTTCTGAGACTTGTCATGAAATATAGTTGCTTAAGGAACCTGGCTTCTTTTTATAATCAATCACATGATCAATCAATCGATCGATCGATCGTTTGATTGTTTGTGAATTGAGCTTTCCGGGATCAATGAAACGAACTTTGAAGCAGTTATTGTAAATGAACAACTAATTGGTTGGAGGCAGAACAGTTGCCTATTTACAACTGTGCCAAGGAGCTGGACTCGAGAATAACAAAATCTTATCAGCTAAGCTAATTTGAATCAAGTCCAGCGCTCTAACCTGATTCGGCCACGTCGCCTGCCTATTTTACAACTGACCTTTCCTGCGATTTTTAATTTGATCTGTGGTAAATTTTGTC